AGTTTTTATAGCTCGTTCCTTTTAGGTCTGGAGATAGTACGCACTGTACGTATTTTGGATCTGCAAAGGGGCCTGCTTAAACAGCCGGCGGTTTATATTTAACCCCACCATTGTGTTTACTTTGCATAACTACCTACTTATTACGTATCAGTAAGCATGTTTGTTTTTCGTTTTATAGGAGGCGATTATGTTACCCCAAGGGTTGGGCATAGTTCAACTTTGGCAGTTTTAATTCCTGTGGCTTGCTTGATCCACATATCTTATTACAGCAGTTAGAATTGTTCCTAACCCCAATATACACGTTATTTCGGTTTGGCTGCAAGTAGAAAGCTACCATGGCCTGCTGTTTAACATAGGAGCCCTGACCAATTTCATCTGGCGGAAAATTATTTGTTCTGCAACTTGCATATTTTCACTGACAGAGTTAGCCGGCACTCCGCCGAATAACTCTTAAATAATCGAAGGTTGAAACTGTACTCTAGATTGCGCGGGTGACTCGGTTGGTGTGATAGAACTTACAAAGTACGAACCAGGTCAGCAATAGGAGTACACTTGCACCTGAAGTCAGAGGGAGAGCAGAAAAGGCGAATGCTGACACCAGGAATTTAGCTTCGCGGTGAAACTGGCTCTTTTTTGCATTAAAGGCAGACGGTTCCTTCGTGTCCGCCCTTACAGCACGGTCTTGCCAGCTAGGACGTGAATAAACAGTGCCGTCCACACAGATTTGTACAAATAAACAAAAACAAAAAATGTTAAGCAGAATCATTTCCCTGCGTATCAGTAACAATGGGCAATGGATGGAACCTTACAGCGGATCACTGTCTCATGAAACGGTAGTCAAAATTGTGAAATTTATTTCGATGCGGTGAGGTTACCCAAGTAAGATTGTTAGATTAATTATCGTGTGGTGTTATCCCGAAACCACATCATGACACTGGTTTTGGAGCGACTTCCTTTCCGGTCGCTTGTAAACAGTAAAGAGTAGTACGCATTTCTCCTACTGACTGTCGATACTCTTATAAATTCGATATATTTTCAGGAAATATGCACGAAAACGTTCTTTCTTGCATATATGCATTAGAAAGTTACGCATTCTCATAATTTTACACTTGAAACCGATTTATCGTGCAATATTAATCACGTTTATACTGCTCGAATAAGTTTGAACACCGTCTGCCATTACACTAGACTGCACAAATTCTAGAAGTCATGATATGCGAACGAACGTTTTCGATTAATTCATAATCAGGCGTGTACAATAATATAAA